GTAAATTTATTCTCCAAGGAATATGAATCTAAAACTCAAGAAATATTACACTAAAATTAACAGTCACATACATTATCTTTAAATCTAGCAATAACCCTCTTACCCTCTTTTTAAAGATGAAAAAAGACAAAAAGTGATTAAAATACTTTTCTGATCTCAAACATCCAGAATCTATGCCATAAAGGTAAAAGTTAAATTATGTAAAAAATTTACATAATAACTTAAATTAAAAGTTAAGTATGTACTTCATCTGGTTTTTATAATGAAGACTACTTGGTCAGTTTAATATTTTTGCTGTGATAGGCTAATAATTTCCATTTTTCTTCCTTGAGCTATATAGTTATAGGACAGGAGCCTTACTCAGGCAATTAAAATTTTTAAGATATTTTATGACAAAAAAATTCATTGTAAAGTATTTCATAATAAGACTAATCCTTCAGAAACATTAGTCTTGGAGAAGTTAGAATTTCTAGATCTAAATCAAATATTAAACATTAAAGAGAATTATAATCCTAACATCTATGACATTCCTCCACCCATTAAATCTAGCTAAAATTTTGTAAGACTATATTGCCTCAAAACAAAATACTAAATGCATTAAATGGAAAACAAAGATGTAATAAAATTAATGCAACATTTACTCAATTCCTATGGGAGAAACACTATAAAACAATGATCTTTTTAGACTCCAGGGTTGCAATGCAAATTATTTATTATGTATTACATCTCTAAATTAAGAAACTATAATCTGATATTCACCTTTTCAAACAAAAAGTATGTAAACATCAGGCAATAAAAACTTTTCTCAATGAGACAGAATATTTCTAATCACAAAACTAAGCTCATCTACTTCCTGGTACAAGTTAAAATAGAAAGGTCTGGTTCAAGCATTTGACATGGAAACAGAAATTCACTAAAGGTAAATAACCAGTGCTTTATTTTAACCAAAGTCCTTAAAATCATTTACTAAATCAAATGCAGTTCCTTGAAACATATATTGTTAACGACTTTCTAAATGAAAGCAAATGATAGCCTGCCTCTCATGCGTTTCCTCTACCTGGATATTTATCAGAAGTATTAACCAGGCACTGTGGCTCACACCTATAATCCAAGCACTTTGGGAGCCTGAGGCAGGTGGATTGCTTGAGCTCAGGAGTTCAAGACCAGCCTGAGCAAAAGTGGGACCCTGCTTCTACTAAAAAAAAAATAGAAAAACTAAGGAAAAAGGATCATTTAAGCCCAAGAGTTGGAAATTGTTATAAGATATGATGCCATGGCACTTTACCCAGGGCAACAGCTTGAGACTGTGTCTCAAAAAAAAAAAAGAAGTATAAGAACTCACTTTAAAAGTAAGGGCACTTGTCAAGAAGTCTCAGAATTCTCAGAAGTCCTGTTCTTCTCCCGATCCACATCAGCAAACCTCTTCAAGGACCTGGGTCCCTGCAAACTCTGGTACAGAGCAGTCAGGCCCTCAGAAGGTAGGCAAGCACAATAGTCCATGGTCATAAGACACCTTCCCTTTGTTTCTGTTCCATTTTTATAACATTCCTAACAACATCCCATTCTCCAACTAAGAGATCTTCTTTTGTTTCCACTAGTGACTTTTCTTCTTGTCCACTCACCTATGTCAATTATGGTGTCCACATGTTAAGCCATGAGTAAAATCATCTCAAATGTTACTCCTAAACATGCGAACAAGGACTCAAATATCAACGTGGGGCTGAATATAAGTGGGTGGTCCCTTCCCACCTGAGGCTTTATTATGAACCCACTTTAGTTTCCTAAGGCATTATAGAAGTTTTTAGGTGAAACACAGACTTTTAAATTTTTTTAATATTTTAACGTCTGTTTGTCTCTCTCTTACACGCACCCACACACAAAACACAATATATTAAACTTCTAATTACACAGAATCTTTTGCACAGGATGAAACTAAAAAGAAGTGAAACACTGCTGAAGACAAATATCAAGAGAACAGCAGACATTTAAGAAAAAAATATTAAGTAAATAGCAGAAAAGATATTCAATCATTTGGCCAACAACTGTGAAGATGGTATGCAAGTGACTAAAAATTAGAAACGCTAACTTCCTTCAGCACACAGAGAACCTGTTAGACCCCACCCAGCCATAGGTCTCAAGAGCCAATGGAATCTAAGGAAGAGAGGTGGGCTTTCAAAAGCCAGACCCAAGGGGTGAGTGGGCTCCATATTCTTTTTTTTTTTTTTTTTGAGACAGAGCCTCAAGCTGTCCCCCTGGGCAGAGTGCCGTGGCATTACAGCTCACAGCAACCTCCAACTCCTGGGCTCAAGCGAGTCTCCTGCCTCCGCCTCCCAAGTAGCTGGGACCACAGGCGCCCGCCACAACGCCCGGCTATTTTTTTTTTGGTTGCAGCCGTCATTGTTTTGGCGGGTCCGGGCTGGGGACTCGAACCCGCCACCTTAGGTGTACGTGGCTGGCGCCCTAGCCGGCCGAGCTATAGGTGCCGAGCCGGGCTCCATATTCTTAACACACTGCTGAGATGAGTGAAAAATGAAATAATCACATTTGCAAGTAATAATGTCTTTTCCTGGTAATTCTAAAAAGCCAAATGACTGGGAGAAACTGCAAAATAATTTCAGAGTGGTGTGAGTGGAAGAAAGGTGGCCAGGAACTTCAATACCTCTCTTTCATTAATTAATTGGTAAATTCCTCAAAGTAGAAACTCTGTATACTCTATAGAACATGACACAGGGCTAGGCCCATCATAGGCATTTAATAAATAAATTAAATACAAGTTTTACAAAGCAACTAATAAATTTATAATTGTAATAATCCATAAACTAAATATATATACACACACATACATATATATCTAAGAAGGCTCAGACAAATGATACAAACATTTGAGATTGCAGTTTCAGCAGTATTACTCTCAGTAGTTATACAAAGATCATCAAAATCTGGTCTCCAACTCTCTCCAGTCTCCCACAATCCTTCTCAATTGCCCTGACTTGAATCTCTTCTTGCAACAGCACTGAATGTCACTGCAAGTGCACCAGGCTGTTGCCCCTCTTCTTCACATCCTATTATCTAAAACACAGTTCAAACATCACCTCCCCTGTGAAGCCTTTTCTGATCCCCCCAAGGCTCAGCACATCTTATCCCTCCATTTTCACGCAGTAGTCCAAAAGATTTCTTTAACCCTAAATGGCGTGGCACCTGCAATTACTCTTTTATATATCTATTGCTCTCTCTCTCCCTAAACTGTCATCCTTCCATGATAGAACAGTATGTAATTCATCTCTGCATACCCAATCCCAACACAGAACCTGGCACATAATTGGTGTTCAATAAATGTTTTCTTACCAAATCCCTTAATGTTATTGCCCAGTCTAGAACACTGGGCAAGGTAAGCCACTATACCAGCTCAATGCTACATTTCTAATCATTTCAAGTTCTTTTAAATTCAAAAAATTACTCTTTGATGGTTGAAGAATATGGCAATCAGCAAAGCCTTTCTAAATTCTCTAGAAAATTATTTTCTCTCCCCACTATTCTCTCTTATCCACACAGGCCTCTGCAAGCTCCCTAGCAGCAGTGTCCTTCCCAGCAGCTGTTATTACAGAGATCCATATCAAGGACTGTATGTGTAGATACAGCTAGAATGGTACTGGAGGTTCAGAGGTCATTCCGCTATCCTCCTTCTCTAGGTGTGGGAATGCAAGGAGTTACAGAGAAGACACAGAAGCCAGTAAGGGAAAGCAAACATGAATGTGGTGGCCATCTTTGGTCAGTGTGAAAAAAAATCATCTTGTTAACATCTATAGAAGTGGTACCAGTGATATAAGCCATTATCCACAGGCTATCCTTTCATCAAGATACAATGCTCTAAAATATTTTCTACTCATCTGAAACAGAATAAAAAGATTTTAATATTTAAATCTAAAAAAAAAACAACCAAAAATTCAATATTGCCTTAGTCATCTTAAAGAAATTAAATACTTTTTCAATCAGGTTTTAAACAGGCAGTTTTTAACCACCAAAACTAAAGATAACATATTTTTATGCTTAGACTCCATATACTTCAAAAGAAAAAAATTCTAAGACAGTTTATGTACTGGTACAAGTCAACAAAAACAAATGCAATCAATGAAGCAAAATCTTTATGCAGCTCTAATCTCTAATTTCATAATCCTCCAGAAAAGAGGATAATGTCAAACCTAACATTCAGTGTTCATTATCACCCCAAAAACATGTACAATAAACTCAAAGGGCAAATTTTAACTATGACAAAATTAATTTTTGAACTCCCCACCTTGAATAAGAGTGAATGATCAAGCTTACCCATGACATCACAGGGTAACAAGTAATTTAAAACTGGCATCATCTCCTATCAGGTCCAGTGCCATTTTAGTGGCCAACATATCTACCCTGTGCAATGTGGAAGATTCAGAGTCATGTCTTGAGATGTCTAGCTGCGTGACAATCCCTCTAGAGGCTGCAGCTACTGCTGGTCCTAGGTGCTTATTCTGACACTAAAGCTCCAACACCACACTGAGGGCTTTATAGGACCACTCACTTGAAGAGGGGGAAATGGATGGCCAAATAACTCATCAGAGGTCTTTAATGTTTATTAATGACCTCGTTAATCTCTGATCTCTAGTCACAACGCCAGTGCTACTAAAGGTAAAACCTAGAAAGCACCCATCTCCTGCAAATAGCTTATTCACAGACGAACTAGTGGAGAAGGCGACTATCAACTAGATCTTGAGACCGAAGGTGTGGCTGTCTACCTATAGAGGGAATGAAGGGGAAAGGTCCAATGAGGATGGGAGGCAAGACATGGGATGGAATACAGCCTATTAGATGACCTGGGCATTAGCGGGCCAGGAGGAGGTTCAAATGGGGAGAAGTAAAGAAGGTGAAGGAAGAGAGGCCCATTGAAGAAGGTGAAGGAAGGGAGGCCCCATGAATCAGTGAGTCCGCACAAATCAGAAACGACAGAGTCGGGATGTACCTACCCGTCAAAGCGGACGGTGCCAGTCTGCTGAGTCTGCACCCGGTAATGTTCTAACAGCAAGCGCACCACCTTGGCGTGTCCATTGCGGGCTGCGATGATGAGGGGCGTGGAGCGCTGCCCTCCCTGCTGGCTGACATAGCCAAGCAGATAGCGGATGTCGCTTTCAGACCGGTTGAGAAGCAAGGCGGCCAGAGTCAGCACCTTGCCCTCGCTGGCCGCCTTGTACACATAGCCAGCCAGGCCCTCCATGGCCGCCGCCAACTCCAACACCCGTTTGGTCGCCACCGCTGCTGCTGCCTTGCGCCCCCGGAGGCCGCGTTCGCCAGCGCTTCAAACCTGGGCCCTCACAGCCCATTCAACAGGGCGCCTTCGCCGCCGCCGCGCCCAGGCAGCAGCGCAGCCCGGGGAGGGCGGAGACGCAGAGGTGGCTGAGTGCCGCGGGGGGCACGTCCACGACCCAGCCCGGGCAGGGAGGAGGGCGGTCAGGGCCGACCCCAAGGCCCCAGACGCCGGCCCTGGACCGAGGGGATCTCCATGGCGGCCGCCACCCCAGGCCACAAGCAGGACCCCTCCTTCCTGCGGGATGCGACAGGCGCGTGCCCGAGCTACGGGTCGCCCGCGGGGTCTTCAGAGGGCGGCGCGCGCCCCGGATGGCAAATGATGGGCGCGCCTCTCCCGACCCGGCCCACCCGGCCAAAGGCCTAAAATTGCCTCTGCCTCTGTTCTTCGCTCTTCGCTCTTCGCGACTCCTGGCTGGAGGAACCCCGCAAGCCCTCGCCCACTGAGCTCAAAAGTACCAGGCGCTGACGATGGCTTCGAAGATCCACGCGGGGGGTCCCCGGAGCGATGCGGAGCGCTCCAGGAGGAGCAGCGTAAGAAGTTGGGGCCGGGAAGACGACGAGCTTTAGCAGACAGGGCCGGGAGGGGGGCGGAGGAGAAGGAGGGACGGTTAAGTGGGGTGTCTCCTCCAAAGCCGACCGGCGGGCAGACGGGGACTTGGTGAAGAAAGGTTCTGCTGTGCGGAGTTAGCCCATCCCCAATCCGGCCTGGGTGCCCCCAGTGCCCTTGATGCCTGGAGCCTCCTCCTCGTCCCCACACGGGCCCCAGGGTCCCTACCAAGGGTAGGAGGCGGAGTGAGGGCGCAACACCGGTGGGCTAGAGGGACCACCCCATTTTGCCATAGATGGTGTGGGAACCCCTCTCTGCCCCTGATCGGGGACCCAAGGTGGGGGGGCGGTGCGCGCAGCCTGGGGGTCCTTTTTAGGAAAAGGGAGGCGTCTCCAAGAGCCGGAAAAGTGAGACCGCGTAAGAGAGCTACAGTCTGAGAAGGGAGTGGAAGACCAGCCTTGCTGTCTCTGGAGAACGGGATTAAGTGTGTGACAAAGATGGAGCGCGAAGGGAAACTGCACGCGCGGTGGAAAGTGTCGAGGTATCCTGGGAAGGAAGGCGAGTTCCGTGTTCAGACAGCGGGAATCTAATCCTGTGCCGCCAGAGCCTCGGTTCTCCCACACGACACGCAAAATGGTTGTTAGGATTTGAAAAGATCATTTATGCAACAAATTCTACAAGTCTACTGTGTGCCAGGCTCTGCTTGGCACTAGGGATTCAGTGATGGACCAGTCCTTTTCTCCCGGGGCTTGTGTTGTCATGGGGGAAACAGACAATAAACAAGTAAATGACAGACTACATGGTTGAGCTAGTATCATTACCATTTGCTATGAAGCACATGAAATAGAGTGATGGGGGGCTAAATTACCTTGGGTGGTCAGACAAGTCCTCCATGACAGGTAACAAGAACAGGGGTTCTTGGCAGAGGGGATAGCTATACAAAAACACTTAGGAGGGAACAGTCCGGTGAGCTCAGGAACAGAAAGTCAGTGCAGCAGAGTGGGCCACAGGAAGAAGGCAGAAGATGCTTGTTACGCCTGATAGTCCTTGGCAAAGGGTTTTAAATTCTACTCTGTACCAGGGACCCCAGGGACATTGGAAGGATGGGACAAGATGCTAGTGCAAGTTTAGATCATGCTAACTGCTATGTGGAGAATAAACTAGAGGAGACAAGAGTAGAAGTGGGGAGGTTGGTAAGGAGGCCAGGTCTTAGATTAGGATGGTAGGAGTGGAAGTGATGAGGCTCCTGCAGCAGTAACAAAAAGTACAAGCTCAGTGTCAGAGTTACTTCCTCTCCCTTTTCTCCCCGCCCCCCAAAATAATATCTACCCTAGAAAAAGAACAGATTAATGTATTTGGCTCCAAGGGATGGGGCTGGGCTCGACAAGTTCACATAAATTATTTTATTTGCACCCCACCATTCCAATCCTAGGAGGTGAAAACCTCACCTCAGATGAAGAGCTATTGGTGGGGGTTTGGGCCACTTCTCAAATTCTCTCCTTCATTCTACAGTACAACTTTACCTATCTGCAAATACATACAAAAACATTGGGATTTTGTCTTTTCTTATCATATTAAATAAAAACAGCATGGCAGTAAGGGCTGGAGATGAGATTCTGCTGCTGCTGTTTCTGAATCGCTAATGGAAAAGAGGAAGAAGCTAGTTGTTTTCATTCTGGGGCTTCAAGGTTGTAAGAAAATGCAGTGTTTGACAGACTGACCCAGGCTTTTTGGCCAGTGAGGGAGGGCATGACTGACACATTCAGATGTGTGACTTGGGACTGTCTTCTGATAACCTTCTCTGTCTCTGCAGAACAACCAGGCTCCTGAGCCACCACCTCTCTTTCTTCGTATCACTTTCGGTATCTATCAGTCTCTATCTCGCCCACTCCTTCCCCTCGCCACACCTAATTACCTAGACATAAGAGAGCAGCCATGGAGGAGTGCCTGCCTCTTTTTTTTTTTTTTTTAATCATAGCTGTGTACATTAATGCAATTATGGAGTACAATGTGCTGGTTTTATATACAATTTGAAAAACTTTCATCAAACTGGTTAACATAGCCTTCCCCTCATTTGTGCCTGCCTCTTTAAGAAAACCCCCTCCCCACAGCCTTTTGCAAGAATTTGCAAAATTTGAAAGAATTCCTGCATGGTTCTGTTTGCACCTGACTTTCTTAAGAAGTCCAGACACAGACCCCTTCATCCAGTTTTGTTTTCTAAAGGAGATCTGGATTCATCCAGACATTTATTGCTAAATTACAGACTTCCTTCATCCTCTACTTGCCTTTCCCATCCCAATTTGGTGGTGTCACTGGGTGAGTGTAGGAGGGGTATCTGGGCCTGAGTCATGCCAGGAAGAGGCTCAGATCTTGCATTGTGTGACCACCACCCCCAACAGCAATACACCTCTGCTCCAGCGCCCAAAGTCAGGAAACTGGGGTCTTGTGTATATATCACAGTTGCTTAGTATAGGGTTCTGAGTCCCCATGGTTGCTCAATAGCCACTGGCTGACCGGAAACTCTTTAGTTGCCTCTGTTTACCTGAGTTTGGAGGATGACGTTTCTGTGGTCAGGTTGTGCAAATCTGGAGAGAGGATGTGTAAACAGGACAAGGCTGCCAGAACCCAGAAATACTTCCTTGTACTTCTGACCTATTTCCCTCTCCCTGGACAGAAAGCCACCAAGCCAATGAGCAATAGTAAAACATAACCACAAGTAGTTATATCCTGATGGAGCTGGATTTGCTGATAACTACAAACTATAGCCTTCTGCCTGGATAAAAGGCAGGACTGAACTTTTCCAGCCCTTTGCTTCCTGGATTATGGTGGTCTGTGAACAACAATGGCTACTTCCATGAGCATTCCTTTTTCTAAGCCAGGCTGGCCCAGACTACAGCACGGAGTCAGTGAAGTTTGCCAGACAAAGTGTATGCAAAATGTCAATTTTCCAATACTAGTAAAGACAATTTATTTTAGTCCTATCACCCTTCCACATACGATCAAGGAATAAGGTGACTTGGTTTTGAATAGATCTGGGTGGGACTCCCATATCTACAGGCTAGCTGGGGCTCTGGGCAAGTTTCTTCATCTGTACAATGGAGTTTATAAATCCTTTCCTCAGAGGGCTGAGGTGATGGGCACACGCCAGCTCCTTTACTGAGCCTTAGTCCTATCAAAAGGTGCCTCAGGACATATTATATTTTCCTTTCTCATATTTCCCTTTCCTGTAACCCCCACCCCAGCAGCCACCCTTCTATTAGGCCATTAACTTGCTCAAGAGAGGACTTCCTCCCTGTCTGCGTTTTCTCTGCAGGAGCGGGTCTGCCCCTGAGAATGGACAGCAAATCCCCAGTATGCAAAGACCTGGCGGGGGGCGGGTAATGAACAGGATTCATAAATTCCAAAAAAGCCACAAAGAAGAGGCCAAAAATCAGTGTGACGACCAAAAAAGCACTTAGGACCTGTCTGTTGTCCCGATTGCCCAGAACTGGAAGCCACTGGCCTCTACCCCTTCTGCCTCCCACAGTCTGTGCCCTTCCTGAAAAACAACTCTTATGATTGGCAAAAACAACACCAATGGTGGAAGAGAGGGGGCAGCTAGTCTGGGTTATTTTCAAACCATCTGACTCCTGCTAGATATAGGTCTGCCAGGAAAGTAGGTTGAAGTAGGTGTGTGTGTCTGCTTTGTTCTAACCCTGTTCTTCCCCGGATAGTGGTACCAATCAGGTTATCCTAGAATTGTGACAGGAATAACAATAGCTCTTACAGAGTGCTTATCTGTACCGGGCATCATAGTACATAGTTAACACAGATTAGCATGTTAAATTTACAGAAGCCTCTGAAGTATATACACCATCATTATCATTCCCATTCTTCAGATGAGGAAACTGAGTCAGGGAGATATTGAATAGCTTGCCCATGGCCTCATAACTAGAGTGTCGTCAAACACTCTCAGGCTGCTTGACCTCCCCTGCCTCTGCTAACTTCTGTGCCTTCCTTTATCCCCCTCTCAGATGTGCCTGCCCAAATGCTCTGTGCAGCTGGAATCCCTATTTTAGATAGCCAAGTTTTCTGTATTCCTAATCACTTCATCGAGGCCAAGGTGCCAACTAGCTAACTTAATGAGCCATCTTGTAGAAACTTCCTGATTACCATCCCACACACAGTCTGGACATTCCTCATTCCTTCTCCAGGAACACAGGTTCAAACCCAAAGCAAATGCCATCTCATCCCGGAGATCTTCCTTGATTTTGCCCTGAGGTCTATACCATTTTATATCTCTCCTGGGACCCTTCCCTTTCTCTGATGATAACTCATTTCTGTACTCTACTTTGTAGTTTGCAAAGCACTTTCATTTCCACCTAATCCATCTCCTTTTTTCCAAGGCCTTTTTTTTTTTTTTTTTTTTTTGAGACAGAGCCTCAAGCTGTCCACCTGGGTAGAGTGCCATGGCATTACAGCTCACAGCAACCTCCAACTCCTGGGCTCAAGCGAGTCTCCTGCCTCCGCCTCCCAAGTAGCTGGGACCACAGGGGACCACAGTCGCCCACCACAACGCCCAGCTATTTTTTGGTTGCAGCCGTCATTGTTGTTTGGCGGGTCCAGGCTGGGGATTTGAACCTGCCACCTTAGGTGTACGTGGCTGGCGCCTTAGCCGGTTGAGCTATAGGCGCCAAGCCTTTCCAAGGCCTTTTAACTACCTTCTCTAACTGGGATGGCACAAAGCATGGAGGCGCACGAGCTCTGGAATGCTCTTTGCCTGCACCCTAGGTCCACGTCTTGCTAGCTGAGTGGCATTGGGCAAATTACTTAACTTTTGTTTTTTAGACAGAGTGTCACTATGTTGCCCTTGGTAGAATGGCATAGGAGCACAGTGCACTGCAACCTCAAACTCTTAGGCTCAAGTGATTCCCTTGCCTCAACCTCTCTAGTACCTGGGACTACAAGAGCCCGCCACGATGCCCAGCTATGTTTTGTTCCT